GGTACGGGTAGCTAGCGAGAAGCAAATTATTACCATCAGTTCAATACGCGTAAATATGAGAGATCAGATTAGCGGGAATCGGGGCCACCATGAAGCCAAGATACTGCGAAAAATATTTGGCACTACATTGCATCTGTGGGTGACGTCAGACGAGAGTAGAACGTGATAAAAGCTGTAGGTTGAGATATGATGACGAAGGAAAAACGGCATGATGAGATTGAGGAGCTGTCTCGGACACTGGTTGAGCAAGTAGCAAGAAGACATCACATTGTGCTCCTCAAGATAAGTTTATAAGCGGTTGCAATTAAAGGAAATAAAACAGAGGACAATGAGAAAATGTACAAAGATTGTCGAGTTTTGGAGTACCCGTTGTGTGCTTGGATTGCGACACGTAAGCACAATTGTGGCTTCTGTTGACTTTGAAGTCAGCCTGTGTCATTCCGATCACTGGGACCGTATTCGAGATGAAGGGTTTCGGTGTTGCTTTCTCCCGTCCCTGCAGTGATAGAGTTGTTTGTAACGTGCTGCATGGTGTCAACCGTAGCCGGAAAAATAGCCATTACTGCTGCGTTTTAAGGTGGCAAGATTTGTGCCGTGATAAGTGGAAGAAATTAAGTCGTTTTGCATGAAATATCCCACCAACTGTGAATACACTAAGTTGAAACATCGGCAAGCTGCGGTTTCAATGTACAGTCACTAGATCGGGTCAAGTAAGGTGAAAACCATGCCGAGTAGCATCGCAGAAAACGAACATCAAGCAGATTAATCCGATGCACCGAAATGCACACTGAGGGCGATGGCCAAACAGGAGTTTCCTCGGTGCGACCACCCATTGTGCTCATCAACGTCACGGCGCTTGTCAACGGCATCATGTATTGGCGCTGCATATGGGTTCGCGTAAGGATCAACATTCAACAGGTAGGTAGCTGACATTGTGTCGGGAATAGGTGTTGACACAAGTGATAGTGACATCGGAATTAGTCGTATTCATACCTTGTTTTACCGGCTATGCAGGCATGCGTTCATGATAAAACCGATAGTGTTGACTGCTAGAAAAGTGCTCAGAATAAGCAAGCACACAACTGTGGGTGGCCCATTAGAAGTAGCTGAGAATGTCAACTACAACCAGGAAAGTTAAAAGATGCCTTGGCAACAAAGAACAATTGAAGTTGACGCTAGGGCTGAACATAACGAATTCGCTGGTCCGGTAGCACCTAGGAGCAACAGCGATGGGACCATCCCTGTGGAATATCGATAGTGACGAGGTTAGCGAAGTGGAATGCAGCCGAGACGGATAGTCATCGCTACAGTATCCTCAAGCCCAAACATAGATGAATCCAGATTCCAAATGCAACCCTTCCATACCTGAGCACCTATCGTATAGATGAAATCAAAGATGACAACATTCAAGTCTTGTCTGCCCGAGATGGCTAGAAATGTTTGACCTCCAACATGTGTTAACAACGGCTATGAACAGATGGTGGATCCAAAGTAAAGTAGATGCAAGCATTCTTCGCAGCGCACATCTGGTGCTGTGCTGTTCACAGCGACGGATTCAGTTCAAGTAGTAAGGAGAACGTATCCAACATATCACAGGATTAGTTTTATGGTCCGTGCAAATCCATGGGATTTGAGACGGCAGTGAACCCTGAGCTTCAAGACTCGGGTTCAGGTACAAATCAACGCAACGGTTCTGAAGTCTACAACAATTGATCATTGGATGACAATAACCATCAGTGACTGGGAAAGCATCGTTCGGGAGTGGAACACAGATGCAAGGCGGAACCAAACCAGCCTTCGGTTGATGCAGGACATTATTGGATAAATGCCAATTGTTGTAAAGCCCGACAGCGACCTTGATGCACAGTCGTAAGTGGTTGGCGGCATCCGGTTTCAGATTTGCCTGTCAGTGGCCAGCCACAGAACGTCTGCGCCTACAGAGGGACCATGGGTGGCTAACGCTGCACCACACACCCCATATCCAGTGTAAACCCGAAGGAATAAGACCGGTAGACATGTGGATGGGAGCCACGTTTCATCAACGGAGTCGGCCCACACTCCTTCACAAGCAAACACAAGCAGGCTGTATTTGGAGAATCAAACGCACACAAGGCGGTGGCTGGACCGTAGTCCGCTCCACACTGACTGCATGGAACCGCTCTTCGAGCCTAGCACGGCCACAAGGACTGTGCACCCCGTCCCCTCCAGCAAAAACCAACTGTCTCCTGGAGTCAGTATGAACGAGGTAGTGGGTAATAGACAGGTAGGCACCTTGTCAACATGCACATCAAGCGCAGCCACACCGGGGATATCAAGCAACAGCAAATCACTTGAAACGACAAGATGAAATAAAATAAATCGAAGAATGCATAGAGATACGGTGGCATAACTCTTCGCTAAATTAGCATATGAAGTAAGTTGGTTAGCAACGAACCCGCGATAAGAAAAAATGTGCACTAGCTACTTAAACATGCTACAAACGCAACAGTTATCGAAGATAAGCGCAATTAGCGAAAGTAATGTGGCCAGTTAATAGAAGACTATTCAAGTAGGCAGAAGAAACCAAATAAAGTGGAATGAAATTTGTCCAGCTTAAAATGACTTAGTCTAAGTGAAAGTTAGTTTAGCCCAACTGCGGTGAAGAAGCATCAAGAATGCAACAGTTATAGATACACCCTGTGCTAAACACATGTCATGACACCGGCCATCTTTGACAAGAATTATAGTCAAGACTGAGTATTCCAGTTCGGCTTAATGATTACAAATGAATGAAAAAGGAATTTTCAACATAAACCAATTTTAGCACACACAAAATAATAAAAAGTAGTGTAATCTAAGTTATATAATATTTTTCATGTTAGCTCAAAGTTATCCCAAGAGGTAAAAATTACCCCATTTTACGGTACCTAGCGGGTGTGGATAAGCGTGTATCATCACGAGCAACGCTCAGCCTATTCCCCTGCCCATGAAGCGCTGTGATCTGGCTGGAAGACAACCGTGCTACCCATTCAGACATCTCGTTTATCTTGCTAGCAGTGGTAAAAATAATATGGAGACGAGTGGTACGAAACATGCTTTGGATGAAGCCAGAAATGGGAGGAAAAGATCACGATACAAGAAAAATAGGATAGTCCCAGTATAAGTACTGAGAGGCCACCTCACAGAACGAGCCTTTATCAATAATCGAGCTGTGAGTTGCAATGAAACGTCGCCGGGACTCGTGGGAAGACCATGCATCTCGAAGCCAAGCCACAGAATGTTGTACGCTGAACTGACTTTTAATTGACGGTTATAAAAGTTCGCAAATGGCTAGAATATGCGCACTTACAGTAGCTCTCTTTATGCGGTGCCGTAAATGTTCTGGCCCTTCTGTTCGTTAGCAGACACTATATTGTCACTAAACCGGAATGAGAGAATTGATGGACAAAAAACATGATAAAAGTAAATATCTGTAAATAACAAGTCATGTAACCCTCCTCAATATAAAGGACGACTGTAGAAGAAGACAGCGTCATCAGTTATCCGACCCAATAACTCTACCGAGAATATGTCATGTAGTTTCTGTTGAGATATGAAAGTAAGGTCTCCTGGAATACACCAGCCGCGGGGGATAGAAAGTGCAAATGTTTGTTTCGCGTTACCGCAAACGTAGGACGATACCCAATGTGCACACAGGTGAAACAATCGCAATCCTGATGCACACTTCGGATGCCATCTCCCCAATCAAGGGTTTCGATGCTAACTTCTGGCTGAAGAACAGAGACTGTTGGCGCTAGGACACGTGAGCCATATCAGTTGCAGGCGTTAGGTTAGGATAAGATTAACTTAGACCCGATGTAAGAGAAACCCAGTACAGTGTTTTATTGAAGCAACTACCAAATGGGACTAAAGGATGATTCATTCTTAATTAAGGCTCAACGACAATGATCGAAGCATAGGCGTTTAGGGAATCGCCTGCTCCCAGCGTTGACCTCTGCGATCGACCTCACTATTGTTTGCACTGTGGAGTCCAAACACGATGTGGGGGTTGCAGGTGAGAACCTATGATGAAATCCGAACTGCAATGACAAGCATTGCTGGAGGACTGAGTGGCGCACACGGTGCCGTGTTCGAATCCCAGCTCCATATGTTCCCCCGATTCATCCAAAGGAGGAAAAATTGCGTACCTTGTATTTCATGTGTGCGTGACCGGCTTCCTCGACGTGTATTATACGCCGTGGCTGCACCAAGTTTGACGAAACAGTGAAGTGGCCAGTCCCTGACGTGGAATAGAAGCATGAAGAAATTGACTGCGAGACTTAGTCAGGCATGCCGTCCTCGTGGATGAAGGTCTCGGGATGGTCCACACCAGATATAGGGCGGTCAGTGGGGTTACCGTACTCCTTTCCTTGTATCTAGTTGTGAGCTATCGTTCCATCCTGATTAGTCTAACGTACCTCTTGCTTGTTTCTTCACATTCTATTTGCTCACAACTCCCCTATCTCGTTGTGCTATTTATTGCTAACCTTGTGATGTGAATCGGGGCGACTGCATCCACCGCATTTCGGTGCTCGGATAATAGTTGTTCAACTGAACTGCCCGACCTGTGGCCGAATGTATCACACATCTGCATTGTAATCCGGAAACCGCGTATTGGACCAGCTGACCGTCGTAGTATCCTTAGCCCAAGCGGGACTAGTGGTGGTTGGTGTGTGGCAACGAAGTTTCGGTACGATGTATTGCGGAGGTATTTTTTAATTCATGTGTGCTACTGCTGCTTCGAGTGACAGTCTGCCTCTACGAAAAACCGATGTTGGTAACCTCTGTGTGTGTGTGTGGGGGGGACTAAACCGAAACGCCCATAAAAATTACAGTTGGATCGTGGGCCCTGCTGTGGACTCGGATAAAGATAACAGAGTCACGTCTAACTGCGAGTGGCCCATGTGAAAATCTCTTTCTTAGCAAGCTCAAAGTATGCATGACAGTAACTCGGTTAGAGAATTAAAAGCAACGGAGTGTTTGCTTGGTGCTAACGCGTTGTTCGATTCCAGAAATAAACAGACTGTTTAAAGGAAGACAAAGCTAGATAGTACTCGCGGCAGTTGGCCGAGTACATTTTAAGTGCTCGACCAAATGACACATCTCCGTTGCCCAACCATCGTTTAACGAAATATCAGATCCTCGGAAATGGAGTACGGTAGGTTCCAAACAACAAAGGGTATATTAATTTTTAGACTCCCGGAGGAGGTGCGGTTCTGCATTGGGGGGTTTCAGACCTCGATGATACCTTTAAGGGACTAAATTTCAGAAGAAGTACCATAGGCCCAATGAATGAAGTCGAAAGCAATGACCCCGGCCGGGGTTCAGAGGTGCCGCATGAGGGGGGTCTAGAAGGAGCAACATCTTACGAAATGGGTTTCAATGATATTTGGCACGGTCTAGTGGGCGTAGCAACGGTCCATATAGGCTGAGGAGATCTAAGTACAATGCTTAGAGTTGGTCAAGATACACCGACATTTTTGTTATTAGTGGCAAGCAGGAAGCATCCGAATATGGAAGTTTACAAGCTCAGACTATCACAGGTGGTCAAAGTATCAAAAGCGCGTTTTTGTTCCAATGTACTAACCATGATAAGAGACGAAGAAAAGAATGTATGTATACATGCGTGGGATGAATAGGAGAAGTATGTACAAAAAGCAATGAGCATCTGTAAACAGCTAAGTAACATTTTTCATCTCGGAACAAACAAGGATGATAATTGAGAGGGGATCTGGAGTCGATGGCAACGAAGCGGTCAGATGCACAGTGGTGCCGTGAGTGAAACGGGAACAGAAACGATTGGAAAAAGCAGACAAAGTGAGCGCGCTAAATTTGGCTAAGAAGTGCGCATTTTGTACAATCAATCGTACAACACGAGTGAAGGCAAAACAATGCAATTGAATAAGCTCAAAACAAATTTGCCAAAATAAAAGATGAAATAGTTAGCCAGTTGAATCGAAGAGTATATAAAACGTACGCACACGTTAACCGGGTAAACAAAACTATACTATGCCGTAAAGTAAAAAAGCAAAACAAAGTAGGTTGTGCAGTAACAACGACAGGACACCGGACAGAGAGAGAGAGAGTGAAGATGAGGTGGCGATCGGTGACAGATCAGATGAGCACAGGAGACACAACCGATTTGATACGGCAGCAGAAAAAGCGTAACCGAATACCGTCATCTGATCACAGTGGGCCAAGAGAAAGGAGGTCAACAATAATGATGGATTTCTTCTCGAAGTCAAGGCAGTGGATGGAGAAACATTGAGGCGTAATCGCCCGAAGATCAACGGCGCAATACGCTCTATGACTTGCCGTGGCGACTGAGGCTACGGATGGTTAACCAGCGTCTGCTTTTTGACCGGTGCTTGTCTGTACTGGGCGGTTCAGAAGTGACAGAGTTCTGCATACTAGAAGGTGGATCAACCGGATGATAAAACGGTGAATCACAGGTGCGAGACCGATCCAATCCGGACTCATTCAAGTATGAGTCGCGCTGTGATCGGTTACGCAGGCGACGATGTAGGGAAGCGAACCAAAGAGTGACTCGCCGGCGCAAGCGAGTACGTGGCCTCTCCTTCACTGGCGTGGAGGGAACACAGTCCGGTGGAACATTGGATCCAGGAGACAGCTGGGTAGCCAACTTGGTTTCGCTGTCCTCAAATTGGGAGTCCCTTGCAACGACCAGCTGACTGGGATGAAAGTCGGCTAGAGTGAGTACATCGCTTCCAAGCCGAAATTGAGGATGCCGAGCTGCTTTCGATTCAGATGCTTCTGACTTCGACCAAGGAACGTGAGTTGAGGCCGGTTTGCCGTAGCTAAAGAGACCATCTGCTCGCATGGTGCCCCCAGCCCCTACATTCATAGTGGTGTGAGAATCGGGGAAGTGAGTCAGTGGGGGAGACACAGGAAGATCAGCTGGACAGAGTGGGGGCTCAGAAGGCATAGGATTTCGCATTGTGTATCTTCTGTCTGATACCGATCCAGTTGGCAGTGATATAGTTACCCCGCGCTGACGGTAGACGGCTGGCAAAGAGGACGATCCGACCTCGAAGTGGTGAATATTTTCGAGCCCTTCGGAATAGTACCGCTGTTTTTTGAATGCCATGGGTTGAATGGCGTAATGGGGAATGGGAGAGATACCTACAAACGAAGACGGAAAACATGGGGATAGTGAACAGACACCTAGAAATGTGTATCAGAGGAGATGTGGAATAGCTCTGAGTAGACAAGAGCGAATATTTACTGTAAAAAATGCAAGGGAGATAAGGCAGAGGCAACCTAACGGATCCAGATGCTGGCGTTAGAATTACATGGAAAAAATGATCATTTAATTCAATAATGAAGGCTACGTTAGACACCAAGTAAGTCGATTCCACGTGGAGTTATAGTCAGGGGGTCCATTGTGGCGAGACAAGGATCGCAATAGGGCACCACTACTGAAGAAATTACGAGTTCAACGGTGTTCAGAGACTACAGACCCCTGAAACCAAGCGTGGTACTAACAAAGTATCCGGTTGCTATGCCATTAAATAATAGTGGCTGTGGAAGTGATTAAAATGCTGACTAAGTGCAAGGTGGACACCAATCAGGCATGTTTAGAAAATGAGGGAGGTATCCGCGATGGACGCAGGTGGAGCTCTCCGGTGAAACGAGAACGCAGTCAAGCAGACTAGACGGCATTTTGAAAGCAATTGGTTGTAATGTCCAAAACAAACGGAGCAGAAAAAGAATGCAGACGTAGTGCTATGTGGGGGACGAATTCGTAAAATAAAGATAGAGAACCAGTGCTGATATGAGTGGTCACATCAAAATCGAATCCGCCGCATAACGCATGCGAAGCATTATGGCCCCATAGAACTGGAAACATACCTAAGTTGGATAATTTGGACTCGATGAAGTGTCCCTGAGAGTTGTGGTTCGAAGTGAAGCCGGGATTGATCGCATCCGGCCTTGCCGATCCCTCGGGATCATATAAAGCGTGATAAACCTGTGAGAACAAAGAGGAAAGGGTTCATCACAATCCAGCCTGGTAAAGGAGCGGCCGGTGGCTGCGAATGTTGAAGGTTACAAACGAGATAGGCGGATGAACCGAGTACACTTGACGTCGCTGAGACAGGAAACAGACGCATGATGGTGTCCTAATAACTAAGATCCCAACCTGACCAGCATTTAAGTGATACACGATCATACTCAGTCTGTTGAATCTAGATGGTCTGAAGGCAGGCGTACAGTGGACGTAGTCGCATTCGCTCGCGTCGTTCTGAGGAGGAAAACATTACACAATAGCGAATTAAATTGATGCCGAAAATAGAAAATCGAAGAAGAGTAAAAACGAAGTGTAAACCTTCAAGTAAGTGGATCAACAGAAGAGATCAAGTGATGAAAATCAGTCGCGCATTTGAAGCCATAACAGTGAAGTGTGTTCCCCACCTTCAGCTAATGCGTACTGATGCTTCTCACCTTCAGGGCCCGTGATAACGTCGTTACAATCCAAGAACACGTGCATCAATCCGTTGCCGCTTTTCCGTCAGCTTCTTTGAGTGCCTTTGCTACGTCAGCAACCGGTAAGCTCAAGGTTTCGCCCAACTAGGTGCAGTATTAGCAAACAGCATGTGCCAAAGAAACCGATCAGCAAACGTAAGAACAAGGTGATCCGTTCAGCGAATGGGAGCTGTTTAAGTTCGGAGAGTGATCCATTTGGTAAACAAATGTTATCTAATCGGTCATGGCTTCAAATACTCGGTAGTTCCCTAGTTACAGATACAGGTGGCTAGGGATGAATCGCTTATAAGCGTAAATGGGTCTGTAGTTTAAATGGAAAGATAACTCACACGGAGACACTATGCACTGTACTCTCGGCCGATAATCTGATGCATCAATTCATTTGGCAAAGACAAAGAGATAGATCCTACGAAAGTTAGTTGATAGAGGATAAGCAGCCCATACTAAGTATGTGTTAATCTATTAACTGTCCCAAATAGTCGAGATACGTCTAAAGAAAGATGCATTTCAGGAGACAGACAAAGTGAGAAGGGTTTGGGCTGGCTTTTGGAGAAACATTACTGATAGAGGGAATGGAGCAGCATCGTGAGTGTCAAGAAAACAGCTCGGGTTCTTGGACATTTCTGCTGGACGCTCTGGAGGGAGAGGTTATGCATATGTAGTGCTTGTTGAGAGTCCGATAACAAGTTGGTTCCAGAGACGTGGTGAAAAAAACGGGGATATGGATGCAAGTTACAAAACTGATATGGTGGACTGTCTTCGAGGCTATTACATACAGGGAGTTGTAAAGCTATTAAACAAACAGATGGTTCAACAATACAGGAGATGTAGTGGGTAATCTGTCATCCATATGATCACGGAGCATGACTGCAGGAAAGCGATGTAAGATGGTGAGCAAAACGGTGTAACTCTGTTAAACACGAGTAGTAACACAGGTACAATCAATTTGATTATGGAAATAAACGCATGAGTTGGATGCTAAGTTGAGTATAGCGATGGTCCATAACGCTTCGCGTAACCTTGAGTGAGATTGCTGGTAGGTGGACTGCTGGAATCAAACTTAAATAGAGCTCCCTGTAGAAAAAGCTGCTTATCTACAACAACGACAATAATAATAATAATAAGGATAAAAATAATAATAATACAACGACGAAATGCAGCCTGTACGGGTTTGTTGGACCGCAATGTGGTCGAAAAACCTAACACCACTCAAGATACCTTATAACATCATCGGAAGTTGTCTCTGGGAATAAACTCAGTCCTCCGTACGTTGGGAACGCTCGTGGCAGTAGAGGATGAGTGTCGCGCTATATCATACTGAGTCACGTGACCGTCGCTCGTTCCTCGTGGCTCAGTGGTCTTAAACCACTGACGCGAAAGCGCGAAGAGTTCCCGAGGGTTCTAAACAGACAGATATGATGCACAGTATTGACGAATGAGGACAGAATAGAAACGGCCATCTAGTGCTTTCTCGGGTATGTGAAGTCGCAAGCTGAGAGCAGTCGTGATAGATTTCCCATAGCACTTCCACTACTTTCCAAAAATTTAACATTTATTTAATTCATATTTGTGCGAAAATTATTCTTTCCAAAAAAAACTCGCCGGACATTTATTCAATTTAGAACGGCAGCCATTAAATTAACAATTTCCTAAGTTTATCTTATGAGTACAAATACCTGACAAGATTTATGGAAAATGACATTCTTTGCGTAACCGTGAGAAGCTGAGTTCAAGAAAATAATGTAAAAATTGGTTTATTTGTTAGTAAGGGACTTTGAAGTAGGGTGGTTGTAGATTTGTCGCAGAGGCTGCTGATTCCATGACCTACGGTATGATACAACGCCATCTGCCGAGGTACCAATCGCTTAATTTTCCTATGTTAGTGGAAGGAGCGTGATTTTCGCACATACTACAAAGTTCAGTTCGTAGTTGTCGGCTAGCGTGAACACATGGGTATTCGTCGCGGACCAAAGTGGACATCGGGGTACAAGAGAGCCGAATCAAAGCTGCACATGACAGAAAGAAAAATTCTATTGGAGTTCGTCAAATGTGGTTACAAAAAGCGCAGTGGAACAACATATCTTCGGCATCTACCTGCGTCTTTGTCACACCACGCAGCTCGCATAGCTCAAGCACAATCTAGAAAAACACCAGACGCATTTCGCCCTGTTGGGGCCTCTCCTAGTTTTAAATACTGTGGATATAGCGTCTAGTGAGAGGAAGTCATGACCTGGAGGCCAGCCACTGTCATCTGCAAGACTGGTAACCTGCGTGGCAATGTAAGCTAGGTCGTGCTATATTCCAGTGAGCTCGCAAATTAGGTAGCTCAGCTGCCGTCTCCCATAGCTAAGTGGTTTAGCTGCTGGCTAGTTGGCGTCACTCTAGCGGTCATGGGCTCGATCCCTAGTAGGGGACCACTGACGAGCCTCAATGGGACGAAATGGCCGTCCGGTGCTTTACCGGATTGTGATCGAGCCATGTAGCCTCAGGAGCTGCTGGGACGAATGCATCCAAAAAATTACAACAAAAATCCTCCTATTCATAAGCAAAATAGTGTAACAAGAGAAAATTCCAAAAGCCAAATATGAGTCCAAGGTTGGGAAGAGCATGAGCGTGCCATTCAGTCAATATGAATTCGTTGAACGAATGATGACGAGGACACTTGGCACCGCATACAAACCGGTGGAAAATTCCAGCGTCAGAAAGTGGTGGGGCGAATGTCGTGAGATTCAGCAAACATAGTTGGCTTGGAATGTGCAGCTTGATCGACAAGCCCCTGGTTGACGGACAGGTGATCTGGTTTGTGTGTATCGCGGTAGGCAAGACCAGAAACCTGGGTAATTAATCAACAAGGAGATGAATAATGACAGTGAGTTTGCAATCAACGCAACAACCCATAGTTGAGAGACCAATTTCTTTAGATAGCTTGGATATCGATAGGCAACGTTTGCGGTTTAAGTAGCCCTAAGGAGCGTCCCCAAGCGAAAATCGTGCACTCAGAAATCGAAGATGACGATTTGAATTACGAACCCATGGGCACAAAGTTTAGACAGGATGAATCGCAACAGGGCCCCGTCAAGCAGTTAATATGCGCTGGGTGGCCGTGCTGTCCATCTAAGACCCTACAGCAGAGCACATTCTATCTGCTTGGGGCGAGGTACTTCAAGCCGTGACCTATGATTTGATGCAGATGCCGACAGCTGACATTCAGTATCTCACATTAAAGGTTTGGCGACGGAGTCATGGCGTACAAAGTATGGCAAAAGGAAGTACCAAATCGAGTTCGTGCAAAAAGGAAAATCTGAACAAGTCAGTAATACGTCAAATAGAAAGGTAAAGAGTGAACCGCATGCTGCCAATCGCGAGTGCATAGACCGATTGCACCGCATAGCCGACACTTCAAGCTGAAGGAACGGTGTGACTCGGTACAACTATGATGGTGTATCGAACCATATGGACCGAGAGGCCGATGCGAGAAGGGGGCTTCGATAAAGCAAATAATGACGTCATAATGGAACAGCAGACAGCACTGAATAAGCTGCACTGGTTTGGGCACGTACTACATAAGACCGGTCACCGATTATCGAGGAGGGCATTGTTTTGTTTGCCAGATGTAGGGTGGGCACAAATTAACTTGGCAGTGGGAAATGAAAGCACTGACGACCAAACTCTATGCCGTCAGTTCGTCTCGGCTTCTAGGCTGGAGTCCACGTGACACGATCTTGTGTTTGGCTTGAGACATCACAAGATTTGGGTCACAGCCGACCTCAGTGGCATATCAGTTGTCGTATCCTAATCAAACTGCCTGTTTAAAGTGTGTTTGATGCCGAGTTATCTGCCGGGTAATGTCTGATTATGACGTGGGACAGTGAAAGCCGCAAGGAACCTGACTCGCTGACGCCGCCTTATCCTTGCACGATAGCTAGCTGTTTGTGACGTTATTTTGTTAATAAGGTGTAGGTTCCTTGACTGAGTGTTTGTTTAAGGCATTAAGGTTTTGCGTCAGGTTCCTCCTCTCTCTCTATATTCTTCGTGCCGTATGTCACTGTGGACGTATGGCAGGGAGGCATAAGTTCAAATGGCTGATGTACTGCTGTTGATGATGATAACCACCTACCTAGTGCCAAATGGATCACGCTAAAACTTGTGGTAATGTTTGTCCTGCCGACCATCAGTTTGACATACCTGCTTTAAGCCAGTTAAGTGCGGTTATAGTCTGAGATTGTTTAGATGTGACTGGGTGAGTGTATGATAGTGACGAAATCGCTATCATAGTTGACTACTCATTAAAAGTAAGTAATCAGCAAGGTCGGTATGCGACTCCAGGTATGCATTACAGGAGCATTGCGAGCATCGGGGCTCTTATCGCGAAGGCGCATAATGAGCAGCGATATAACTTTGGAGGATGAGACCTGATAAAGGCAAGTAAAAGACACAGATCCGCGGTACATAACGATTGCGAGAGTACTCCCAATATATCAACGGGACCAATGAATTGCGGAGTAAGAAAGAACACCGATCGGGTGAGAGAGAGAGCGTTGTATATTGGACTGTAATAGCATGAAAATTAAACAGGAAAAGTAAAAATAAACTGTAGAATTTTTTGTGTTCCCTAATAGTGAGCGAACTCTACAAGTTTCCTAGCTCACCTTGATAACTGATAGCAAGATTGTTAAGGGACTTATGGGATGAACACGTGTTCACTGCGAACAGCACAGTTGGAGCTGCTTAAACTCGTGAGAGAACACGAGTTATTATTTCATTTATCATAAAATTCAGCATGCCAATGTGAGCAGACACACATGAAGGGCAAACAACCTTGACGTCTAACGAAGAAGACCGGGAAACATTCCGGATCCACCATCAGTTAAGGAGTTCAGTAAAATATCACGTATAGTCAAATAATTGAAATGGACGGCAGATTTCAGATAGTGCGCGAGGGTCAACTGTATGCTAACCTTTAAGCGCTCCAAAACAGAGAAAGGGGCGATCCCAGACGGTTCACCGGAGTTGACGGAAACGTCTTCAGATGGGGAAGGTGATGAAGGCTCGCAAGGTGCGTCCAGGAGTCCCAACTCGACCGGGGTGAAGATTCGAGCCCCGGTCTCATCGATATGGGGCGCGGGGTAATCGAATCCGGGTCTGCGAAGAAATTCCAAAGGATCGAGCCAGCAGACGAAACCTCGTTCACTCCAAGTGCTCGTAAATTCTGCCGGTGAATGCCCTTGCATTTTTGATCGAATTTGTTCCAGAGATATGGGTGATGGTGGATCATTCAGTACCCATGGATGTTTCGCGATCTGTTCCAGTGTGAAGCGTTTCTAAGAGGGAGCACAAAAGTACACGAAGACAAGCAAGAAATGAGACATAAGAAGGGGAAAATAACCTAAACCGGGATAACAGTATGGTTCGAGAAAACCCGGCCACAACCCGATGGCACATGAAAGGCATGACCGTTGGGAACGGCCATCAGTAGGGACGATTATGAGGTAAAGTAAAATATTGCATGAACGGTACAGATGGAGGAGAATAAGGACATTGCGTACACAACTGGGATGAGCGGTGAAGATCAGGTTGACGCCATCGAATGTATTGAGAGAAGGAAATACCAGCGTATGACTCCATGTCGCGAAATACGCGTGTATAGCTATCAAAACCATTGGGGGCGCGTAACGTTAACGAAGCATCTGTACAATGCACATTCGTTGGTATTTTTACACTCGGGTTCGGAAATCCTCAATCTGAGCACCATAATGAAGCGAATCAAGAGCCGTAAAGATGAAAATTAGTGGAAGAAAACAGAGGAAAAACTAGGAAGGGTAAACCAATAGGGCGATAGATGAACGTGAAGCGAAGAGCGATGGAAGATGGCATAAGCGCTAGACAGGTGATTAGTTGAATCTAGGGGCAGGGTGCACAAGTCCTACCGGTTCCTTTGATTGCCCCCGGAGTAGATAGCGCGGATAGCTACTAACATCTAAGTAAACGATGCGCATCAACGCGAATCGGTTTTCCAACTGGTTCTTTACGCCTCTTAGCTTAGTCCGTCGCCCGAGCAAGCGTATTCGCAATAAACAAGGTTCTTGGAGTTGGGTGGCAAAGAACCCAAACCAAGGCAGTGTGCCAGAGAGCACAGTGAACAGCCGGGAGCCACGTAGTTAAACTTAGTGTGATTCTGTTGATTGTGATGCGACTAGACATGGGCGAAGTCTCCTAAACAGGCATAGGCAGCCTATATATATTGACCGATTTTTCAAAATATAAATTCTTTTCTAATAAATATGCTAAAATTTCACCGTCTAATAGCCCATTGCCGTGGTCGTCCCACCGCTTAATTGTCCAGCTGCACGGGCTGTGCTCTCGTCGCTTTGTCAATTTTACGGTCTCGCTCCGACTATTTGTTTAAAATTACGATTACCCCATAGCTAGCCAGTCCGATCGAATCAAGAATAACAAAGATGTCCGCGACGTTATTGACAGACCAGAAAAATTTACCTAGGTCATTCAATACACGAGCAAGCTAATTGTACAGATGGCTGTGGGCAAGCCCTCGGCCTTATGCAAAACCCGAGAACTCAGCAAAGTCAGGTAATCTTTCTGCTCCACATTGGTTAGTGTACTCCATAGGTTACACACAAATATGACTAGTAACAGAAAGGATTTGTCTTTGACAAAATATTGGATATTATGGACAAAATTAAAACTTATTCACAGAAACCTCGCATGACAAGTTGTAGCGTGATGTACACATTTCTCGTCATACCCTGGCCAGGTTGATTGTCAGTGAAAAGGAACTCCGGCAGAATCTGTCGCATGGCACTGCAAGCTCTCAGAAAAGGAAGTGATGTGGCCAGGATGAAAAAGTTGAAACTGTGTTGAAAGACTGGATGAAATCCGTTCGTGAGCACAACCAAACAGTTACAGGCCCGCTTCTAATGAAAAACGCAGAAGAATTCGGGGAAAGACTTGGAAAAACCATCGCTGCCACAGAAGGATGGTTGCAAAGATGGTAGAAAAGAAATCAAATTGTGTATAAATGTGCACATGGAGAAAAGAGTTCTGCGAACAGAGAAGTGTGGGAAAATTGGCTGAAAGGTCGACTGACTGAGCTTGTAAATGCATTTGATGATGACAGCGTGTGCAATGCAGACGAAACAGGTCTTTTTTATCTAGCAACCAGATGGTTGTTTGTGTTTTCTGCCGACAAGCTCAGCGGATCGAAAAAAGCCTTGGATAGGATCACCCTCCTGTCCTGCGGGAATATGTCAGGCACGGAAAAAAGAAAACTGGCTTTGACTGGAAAAAGTAAGAAACCACGATGTTTTAATGTGTCAGCTGTATGCCGTAACGGCGCTTCGCCGCCGCGAGGAGGTCCACTCCTACGTGGATTCGAACCGGTGACCTCATGATTGCAAGCCAGGCGTGCAGACAACTCGGTCACCGGCTGAGGTGAACGTGGACACACTTCCCGTAACGTACAGAGCTAACAAAAAGGTATGGATGACGAAAGAAAGTTTCACCGAGTGGGTCCTCGAGTGATACAAGGAACTAGGCCAAAGTGGCCGAAAAATTAGGTCGCTCTTGGATAATTCCACAGCGCATTGGTAGGTAGAAGGCCTAAAAAACATACAAATGGAATTTTTGCAGGCAAATAGGACTAGCATACTTTAACCCATGGACCAAGGTGTGATTGCGAATCTGAAAATCCGCTACAGAAAAGAAATGGTGGGCCGAATTCTTTATCACATCGAAAAAGTGTTATTTGGCTCATCGTAAGCGGTGGTTGTCAGCGCCAAGATTTATGTGCTCGATGCAATTCAGTTAGCTTCTAAAAGTTGGAGACAGTAATCGGTGCAACAATAAAAGCTTGCTTTCGGCATGCTGGCTTCAGTCCACTGGCATCCGATGCACTTTCTGACGACGCCGTCATCGCTCAGGACGACATCAGGTCTGGCAAAATCACAGTCCTCAATGCAGAAGAGTACGTCGCCATTGACAATGATGTGGAATGTATCTCAGATCTGACAACTGTTAAAGATGAAAACATTAGCAAAATTTTACAGAACCGAATAGAAAAGAATGAAGGCAGCGACTCAGAGGATGATGTGCTGGGTGCCTCCGTGAATAACAGCAATCAGCAGGTGTAACATTCCAGAGCAAAGAACTGTGTGAATGATCTGTACGGCTACGGACTTTTGCATGGGCTAGGCAAATATTTCTTGTCCAAATTGGACTTCATCAGTGCAAAAGTGACTGGAGTAGCAAAACAAAACAATGTACAAGTGAGGTTGGACTGTTCTCTCAGCAAAAATAAACAATAGGGCCAGTTCTTATTGCTAGATAGCCAATATGCTAAATGCTATAATTTTTAAATTATAGACCATGCACTTCGGAATGAACGTCTTTTGTATGCTTTAGTTACAATAAGTATTTTATTCTTCTTAGCATGTTATGCTTCAAGTGATATACTGTACAATAATTCAGTGGTCATATCACTATTGGAAGAATGGCAATAACGGTTAATTTCCCACGTTTGAAATATCCCGATGGGAGTAATAAAGCGGATTGGGCTATATATATATATATATATATATATATATATGTATATAATGTATGGGTGGCGGCATCCCACTTCGGATTTGCCTGTCACTGTGGCTAGCCACAGGATGCCTGCGTCTACAGAGGGACCATGGGTGGTTTGCGCTGCACCACCCACAGCTCCAACCACGCACCCCATATCCAGTGTAAACCCGAAGGAATAAGACCGGGAGGCATGTGGATGGGAGCCACGTTTCATCGACGGAGCCGGCTCACACTCCTTCACAGACAAACACAAGCAGATTGTATTTGGGAAACAAGCGCACACAAGGCGGTGGCTGGACCGTAGTCCGCTCCACACTGACTGCATGGAACCACTCTTCGAGCCTAGCACGGCCACAAGGACCGTGCGCCCCGTCCCTTCCAGCAACGACCAACTGTCTCCTAGAGCCAGTATGGACGAGGTAGTGGGTAATAGACAGGTAGGTGCCTTGTGAACATGCACATCAAGCGCAGCGACACCGGGGATGTCAAACAACAGCCAATCTTGAAATGACATCAAATAGAATATATCTGTTAAACCATACGGCTACGCTGATATAACTCTTCGCTAAATTAGCGTATGAAGTACGTTGGTTAGCAACGAATTCGCGATAAGTACAAAATATCAACAAGTTATTCAAAAGATGCTATATATATATATATATATTACCAGTGGCACAGACATTGTGACATCGGGATCACGACGAAAAAAGGAAAACAGGATAGGAACAAGAAAATACATGCAGCTTGTTGTACAGTTTTCATTGTTTTTTAGTTGTTATTAATGGCTTGTTTTACTTGTGAAGAGAGGGAAAATCACCGCAACACGCAGAGATACATGTCCACCGTCGACGTCGGTCTTAAGCCATAACTTAATGGTCTCCAACAAGCGACACTGTATCTCTGAAATCCCAACCAGGGAGTCGAGATTAGCCGACCGACCTAAACTGCTTCAACCTTTTCGTGTCGCTTCTCCAAGTTGTAGGTTGTCCACCGCGCCGCCTCCTCCAGTCCTGTCTAGCAACCATGAACAACGTCCGACGTGGAAGAAGATGGCGGGCGTGCGCAATTGGTGTCCAATACACCGCAACTGATGCAGCGGGACGAGATCCTCGAGTGAATGGCTGCATGCAGTCGAAACACGCTGTCTAACTTGCACATTAGTTACGTGGTGCAGCCACCATACACAGACAGTAAACTGCAAGCAACAGTGCTCGAAGAATTACGGACGGCGCAGGTAAAAGTTATCAGCAAGTCATGTCCAGCAACCGTACAACAGTACAGCGAGGACACTCGCACAATAAACCCGCCATTTGATGAATAGAAGGATGTCATGGGGACGCCATAAGCGCCTCAGCCTTTAGAATGCGAGACGAGCTCTAGAGACATGCATGGAAATCTCGTCTCCAACAGCCCCCCCCCAGCAGCTATACAGCTTTCTAGGTAGACGAAATTATCTACAACCTCCATTGTCTCACCACCAAGAGTGAGGGAAGGTACAGGCATCTGCAAGTCTGGAAAAAGGGCTTAGTACATGGATGGGGAAAATGGGTGCTACACTTTGACGCTTTAATCGCCAAGTGGTTAAATGTAAGTTGGAAGGCCTGTGGACCGTCACCCAGCAAGCCGATATCATCAGCAAAGTCCAAACCAACCATTTGACTACCTGGGAGGAGCTGAACGCAAGCACTCAACGAATCTTCCAGAGCATTTTCGAGGACAACCATAATGGTAAAATTGAAGAGGAATGGGGAAATAGGGCATCCTTGTCGAACTCCACTGGTGACAGCCGAGGAAAGCGAAAGCTTGCCATAAGCTATAACTCTATCCGTGGTGAGACTGCAAATAGCACGAAGTACAGAAGCGAATTACCAGGGGACACCATTTCTCAACAGACAGTGTCACAATACAGTCCTATCGACAGAATCGAAGGTAACATGGATATCCAGAAGCACAACAATCGTTGGCACACGTGGCGGAGCTGGAGGATATGGCGGAGTGCGAAAATTTGGTCGATGCAGCTGCGACCAGCGCGAAACCCAGCCTGTTCTTCCCGCTGTAGTGATTCGTGAGTTAGGGATAGTCTTCGAAATATGATGGACACCAGAACGATGCAAACGTGCGACAGAATGCATGCTCCTTAGAAGTTGGTCAGTGAAGCAAAACAAATGGGAACTGTGAGCAAGAGGAGTCGGTTATTACCTGAAATAGAATGGTATCAGCAGTAACACCGGTACACTGTAATGACGCTCCAGTACTATGCGCGTGGGTCAAGAGTACTACAAGGCCGCCAGTACCTACGTGGGCTCATACCAGGGACTGCAAACCAGACATGCATGAAGCATTTCGGTCTCTTATCGGCTGCAACTAACGTGATAACGAACGCCCAACCGGTAGCGGATAACAAGAATAAAGTACAAAGGGAGTGTTTTTGCAGATAGGTACGTTGTGTGTAACAGTTAGTGATGATGATTTAGTGGGGCGGGAGTACCTTTGGATCCTTGCACATCATCTTTCGGACCAAATGAGCTGCACTGGCAGACACGTGACCAGGAATGGTGTAGTCCCCTTGGGCGATGGCTTCGAATATCTGCAGCACGTTGATGCACGAGAACGGCACACGACCGGTGAGCATGAAGTACAGACTCACACCCGCACTGTACACATCAAGCTTGGAACCAGCGAACACGGATTGGACGCCCTTCGCCACCTCCGGGGGCTGCACTGCGGGAGTAGTCTGGCCGCCGCTGACCTGAAGGGCGAACGAAATGGACAAGTGGACGGGTGATGCAATGCGAATGAACGTCACCCAGCCACGAGGAAACCTCATATGAATAGGAGAGATGTGATTAGTGAATGTAATGAGGACACACGTAAAGTAGAGGGCAATAGAATGGATCAGGCTGGAAAGCAGCACAGCTTTACAGATTCCGGTATTGTCGAAAGGGGGGATAGCATAAATTCAGTACCGTCAGCATAGACAGGCCGCAGCGGTACCCATATAAGTGTGACCAGAACGGAGATAAACAATTTACTTTAGAGTGAGAAGGATCACGGACCCGATCAAGGAAATATCAAAAAAAGCAAACGTGGCGCACAGGGGAGACTCAGAAGTTGAACAATAGACAACATGATCAAAGCATTGATAAGGATCGAATTTGAGTGTTCGGAGATATTTGGCCGAACCAATTTCGTGGGACAGTAAACTGCAAACGCCGACACATACTATCTCAAGGAATATTTCTCCAAAAGGATGCATTCGTCACATTGACTCTGCCGTGGTAGTAGGCCAGCTGACAAACGAACAAGTGTATGAGTGGTTGTCTATGTGTGTGTCGGTGTATGTCCTTTGGTGAATTTGCTATCCCAACATTACCAGATGTTTATGCTGCTATGTACATATGTTTGCATGCAATCTGCAGTACGCACTTGATAATATGCAGAGAAATTTTCCGGATATAAGTCGTGGGGTACAATCATGCTAACGTATTTGTTGAATATTTCTGCAGTCACATAGTCTATGACTGGGCACTGTCCGCTTGCTGTTCCGGTGGCCGGACTGGGATACAGCACTCTTCAATAGTAGCAAAACATGCGACACTTATAAATTAGTTGATAAAGTTAGTAAGGACACCTGGAGACAAACTCGATGTGTAGAGGACAAGAGAGCGCACTGTAATATCATCAGCATATTGGTGCGGTAACGTATAAGAACCGAAGAGAATCAGACAAACAGTCAGTATCATGGCATCGAAAATACGAGTTTCTTCAACAAACTAGGCAGCTTGCTGACGTTGCTTTGAACAACAGAGCGAGCTGAATGTGTCGGTCCAAGCCGTGGGCTTCAGCTATGGAAAAGGAATTGGAAGGCCGGTACTAAGAGTGGTAGTTCAGTTATCGGAAAGATGGAGTAATGTTTAGACACTCGACGAGTTTGCTACTTGGATTGCGAACAGACAAGTACGAGTCTAGGGTACATCGCTAATGCACAAAACAAGTAAAAAAGCCTCCTTGTTTTCTCCGCATTCACGCATACCAGAAGGAAAAGTGACCGCACAGCATGCTGTCATTCGTCGGTCATGAAGATGAGCTTCCTGGTAAGTCCAATTTATCATACATAAGCTAACAAACGGCCTCTGGTACAGTTGCCTTGAAAATCCCATTCTCTAAGTTCACACTAGCAGATAAAGAAGAAGTAAGTTCAAGAATGAAATCAGTAAGCTGATGTTTCGGTTAGAAGGGACGTGTCTGTTAGCAGAACTAGTGAACAGAGACAGGGAAGCGCGGTACCTTAAGGAAAGTAACCAATAGGTCATAGGGGTAAGGGAGAATTAGCACACAGCTGAGTTTGTTCGACGATAGGCTACATTATCAGCAAGTTAGCTAGAGGCTGGAAACACGCTGACTATTGTATCGCAATACGACACGAATTAAAGGAGCGTAAAAAGAAGAACAAAATAATCCAATACACACCATGTTTTTATTGTATAGCAGGATACATCTTGATTTCAGGAGGGGAATAGGCGGGAGAGCGGAACAAATAAACTCCAACACGAACGTCACTGGAGTCGGCCCATGGCCACATCGGCAAGTGTCTCAAGCCAAACGTGTCCATTAGACAATGAACACGGGACCCGAGTCCGGGAGTCATAAGCCCCAACCGAATTCAAGTTCCTCTTGCCAAAGTCAACAGCTGACCTACCCCCTCTTTTTCCACCCACATCCCGGTCGCACAAGTATCTCAAATCTCGGGAGTCAGTGTGCAGACATGCCATCGCATTCTCGTGAGCGAAATACCATAATCAACACACCAAACATGCCTACCGTTCACGTGGTGTTCCACCACCAGACATGAGATAAATTGTGAAGGCATCGGTGGTTGAACACAATTAGACTCTACGTCGCTTGATCTGATAGGTCGGTTTCACAACTGCACAGTAATGTTACACGAGTGATAGCTTTGTAGAGACTTTGCACTTCAGAGTGAGAGTAATGTCGCGCTGGCACTATAAGTAACGAGCTTTTGTTGTTCTATTCCATAGACGCTGATACAGCTACCAATGCGGCTTAATTTCAAAACGGTGTCTAGTTGATCTCCAACTAAGGCGTGATCCTTGCCAATCCTAGAGGAAAGCTTGCATTGTGAGAGTACAAAGCAAGATGCGAAATGATTGACACGACCATCAGGAGAGCCTACCCTACATCAACTATACAGATGAGACTCATCGTTAAATAATTTCCTAACAAGATCGTTCAGATCACAAACCAGTAATACAGGATCGTTAGTTCGTCTGTGACGAAGATCGTGCAGTTGAGGATACAAGTCTTCTCACACGAATCCAAATTTGCAGTTTGTGGGAGTGTATGTAGCAAAGACAAACAGGTGTCTATTGTCTCCGCAACAACCAACTCACTCTTGGCTACCGAGAAACTGCCTTGACTGCACATCGACACACAAAGTCATGACTGTAAGTTGACCGAGCTCCAACATCTTCAGATCTCAGGGCCGCGAGAAATCATAGCGATCACGGACGTGGCTACGTAGTGAGATCACCGACTGCAGTATGTTGCTCATCCGGAACGACCAGTTATTACAAAACAAACCTTCGATGTGAATTCGGGCGGCCGTCAAACATGTGTCAGTGATTTCATGTTCTGTGTCCGTAGCTTACCGACCGCCCAAATCCACTCCGGAAATGGACCGCAGAATATTATTGGCTTTGCGTATGGTGATAAATCAGAAACAAAGTCATACTCTCATCGCATGAGATTTTAATATCCATGAGTTGGAAACTCCAACAACAGATGCCCAACAGTTTTAAGGCGTATCTGCAAGTTAGTTTCCAGCGCGCCCTTACACAACCACCATCAAATTCCAACTGTGCTTAGAACTGCGAATAAACTGCCAATGCTAGACCAAATGCTCACCACCGAGAAGCTCATGGTTGATGGGGTAGATGGTTGAAGTCATTTGGGTCGAAGCGATCACGTGAGTTTACCGCTTAATTGTATTTCTTACACTGATAAGCATGATGCAGAGCCCGAACAAGTGTATTCTGTCATACACTACGATGCACCGTCTGCAATCGTTGTAGGAACGATATGGACATTTATGACTGAGTGCATCCAAGATCCAGTCTGAGAAGTTTTTAAAACCATCAGACAAAAGAGTATCAGCTTTCCACCTCCACCTTAACCCAGCTCTGGTGCCAGTGGGTCTGTGTGATTCCAGACCATATTTTTTAGAATCTATCAGGATTAATGACTGTTGTCACGTATTTTCCTCTAAAGCCATGCTAAGTACGTGTCACATGATCGATAATTGCAAAGCATTTCCGGTTATTTTTAAGTTTACATTATTGGTGGTTTTGTGAGTAGTGTAATTTTTGTAGAAAGTAGAAGCCACGATTAAATTTTGCACAATAATCTGCCTCGACGGGGACTCGAACCCCGGACGTACGGTCAAATTGGCTCCATAGTACTTAAAGCTAATGAAGGGATTTTGCTCTTATTTCATGTTTTTTTTGACAAGTGAAGCATAACAAATTGACGACACAAAGGGGACCTTATCTCGACGATGTTCAGCAGACACTAGGTGATCTAAGTCTAGTCGATAGTGAGAATGAAGACAACAGAGATGATTTGAAGTGGGATAAAGGTGGCGATGAACTTGGTAATGAAGAATCAGATGTCATCAGTTAGGTAACTACTGACACATCACAGTCGGAAGACGAAGAGAGCTGTAATATTCGTGGAAAAGACGGGTGTGTGTGGTCACAGAAGCTCGAAACTGTCAGAGGAAACCTGCTACGAAATACTGTCACAGACAGAAACCATGACTGAAAGGGAATGGGTGTAGAGCAAACATTCATGTAAGCATTTGGTTACTTCTGACGACTTTACGATAATAGGGATTGTGAAATAAGCCAGCCGAAAAGGAGAAAATGTGAAAAGCAACGCGGGATTTGTGCATCGAACAAGCGTGATCGAAATTCGTTAACCAGTAGGCATCCTGCTCTTCGTAAGTGCCACAAAGAGCTCCATTGAAAGTATTGCAGGTATGGCACTAGAAAGCCAATTTGTCGACTAGCAGCGATGAGTCAGAAAAGTTTTCGTTTCTTGCATACTGCCTAGGTTTCGATAATTCCACCACGAGGGCACAGCCAAGAGCCTATGGCGTGTTGGAACTAAATAAACCGAGTAAATTTGGATTGATAGTACAGTACAAGCCGAAGGATGTCAAACAGATCATTCGCAGTTGCGGCACTGTACCACAAAAACCCACACCAGCCGCAAGTATCACAAAACCTTACCCAGGACAATGCAAGGTGTCATATTTGTCCCAGATTACGTGATAAGAGAACCGAACTAGTCGGTAACGAGCGCAATAAGTTTGTGTGAGAAGAGTGTATGGCGCGATTGTGTAACCAAAGGCAACAGTAGTAATTTTCCTACAGCGGAATGAAAAGATAATAATGTAACAAAGAATCGTTATGCTGGTCATAAGGCATGTTTCTCAGTATAGAGCACGAGTGGAAAAGCGGGACGGATTGCCGTATGAGTTCAATCCAATTCATCACGACACGCGTCTCTACGAGGGACAGATAATTTGCATTCGTTGTCAGCCTATCCAATCGGAGCGGTGTGCTTAACCGCAAACCTGTGTACCTCGGGCAGGAATTTCTCTCTGCTCTGATAACTGGTAGCCCATAGGTCAATGAGGGCATTCATAATTGTGGACAGACAGGCCAA